TACACAAATTGCTAATATTGAAAAAAGAATTCCATGTTTATAAAATAAAATTTATTTGAAATAAGAATTCTTAGCCAAAGAAAAACTATTTTGATTTAAATGGCCAGTACCGCAGAACTGCAATTTCATAGGTAAAGACCTAATTATTAAAGTCATATTTTGATTATTAATAATAAAATGTGTAATTTATAGAAGTGAAAACTTCTTTAGCATCGTTGTGATTTGAAACTGAATGAAACGAAAAATCGATATAAAAAAGGACGAAAGTTTACATCTATAGGACTTAGCCTGCGAGAGGATGAGATAGAATACAGTGTAGTAAGAGTCAGTAGGCTAATGGCAGGGTGCAGACCGCGAACTCAAATGATTATGTATTTGAATCCGCCATGCCTGACCACCCCTTACACAATATTTTTTTATTTTTAAGCTAATACTTAAAAATTATTGCAAGTATTTAAAAACAATAGTGTTTCCAATTATTAAAGATGGTTAATATACATTTTAACTGTTAAAATAAACAATTAAAAATTAACATTATATTTTTAACAGAAATTTAAAGGTTACGAATTTAACTCTATTGTTGTCAATTCTGGTGTACCTCAAGGATCGATTTTGGGCTCCCTGCTCTTTATTTTATTCATAAATGACGTCAAGGTCTGTTTCAACAATTCTCGTTTTTAATGTACGCTGATGATATTAAAATTAATAATAAATGCTAAAACATTCACGACTGCTCACTTTTTCAAAAAGATCTTGCCAGATTTTCTCAGTACTATTTAGATGAAAAGCTTCACATAAGTCTGCTAAGTCTGCCCAAGTGTAATGTGATATATTTTACAAAGAACAAATAACCTTTTAAATTTAATTTTTGTATCAATCGCATTCCCTTACAAAAATTTAACATAGTCCGAGACCTTGGTTTAATACTGGACTCAAAATTACATTTAGATTACCATATCGATTATATAATCAATAAAGCTTTTAAACAGCTTGGTTTTGTTAATACATCCTCCAAAGACTTTAGACATTCATATTCTTTCTTAATTATATACAAAATACTCATTCATTCACAATTAGAATATGATGTACCAATCTGGGGCGCTTCTTCAAAAAATATAATTATAAATTGGAAATGGTCCTAAAAAAATTTTTACGCAACATCTTTTATAAGTTTTACCATTCCAGAATTCCATACGTCCAATTATTAAAACACTATAAACTACTAAGTTTGGGATCTAGACGATCGCTTATTATGGCCATAATGTTGCATGGGTTGTGTAATAACAGGTTTGACTGTATTTATATCACCCATAAGTTATATTATGTTGTACCGAGAACTGTAATTCGGTTCGAGCACAGCTGAAGCGCGGGCACACCTTCGCCGCCTCTTACATAGGTAATTATAATACACACTTCACAGAATGTGATATTTTTCCTCTGTCATCTTTAAAGTTTAAAATAATGATAACTGAGCTGCTAACTTACTAAAATTATTTATAATAATGTAATAACTAGCATAATTAGCTACACTCTCATAAATTGCGCAATTGTAATAAACATAAGACTAAGCATATAATATTACTTTGTGGGCATTAGTGTGAGTGACACGTTAAGTACTCCTTTATAAATTATTTGTCTTGCATAACATTAATGTGTAATAAAAACATATCATTACATAAATAAAATAAATCATATTGAATAAAATTATAATAAACAATTCATTCATTACAATCCAAGATTTCATAGCTTACCGATTTAAATTAAACTAGCGGCCCACCCGGGCTTCACACGGGCGATCTCTAGATTTTGACAACAGCGTCACCTACTGAGCCCAATTATCAATCATCAACCATCCAATCACACAAAAAAAATCATCAAAATCGTTCGATCCATTTTCGAGTCTTAGCGAGACTGACGAACAGCAATTGGTTTTTATATATTATAGAGATTATTCGTGTTTATGCCATCTAGCGCCTATCCTACTTGCACTTTTTATAGTCAATCAATTTTTTTCGATAAAATGACTTTATCTATAGAACGCATCTACTTCGTTCTTAAGATGAAATCATTTTATCGAACAAAAATTGATCGCAACGCAATTTTACTCGAAAGAAAATATTACTTTACTTTTGATTTATCTTCTTTAGAATCATTGTGATTTGAAACTCGATAACATAAAAAGTGACAATAATAAGGTACGAGTACAAACATATACATATATAGGATTAAGCCTGCGAGAGAATGAGATAGAATACAGTATACAGTGTTTTCTATTATCTTAGTCTCCTCTTGTGCGGTGCGGTACTTTACAGATGGTGAATAAAAGTTTTAACTGTTAAAGTAAACGGTAAAAAAATAACAAATTTATTAAACAAATAAAATTAATTATATCGAATAAAATTATCATATCCAATTCATTCATAACAATCCCCGATTTCATAGCGTACCGATTTATATTAAATTAGTCTTATTTAGGCCATATTGGATATATTATATGTACCACTGAGTGTCAGTTGTTTGTTCGATACAATAACTTTAATTATATATTGAAGTAGATGGCGCTACTAGAAACTAATTTTACTCACAAAATATGCATTGTAAAATAAATGTATTATTTGCTTTAAAATTAATCTTTAATCTTATATTTATGCCGCACTTGTGGTTGAAAATTATGTTATTAAATTATACATTTGTCTTGAAATATTTTTATTTTATATTTCATTTCATTTGAAGATTTCACTTCTATCGCGTCTGAACTACAAATATGTTTTTATTACTTTAAAACTTTATTTATATACATATACCATAATAATAAAGCGATAACCTAAAACTGATAACTTAAATTATTCCACCCTAAGAATTTGTTACGTATAGTAGAAGCCTTTTACATCTTTTTTCTTCTTCCCAAAAAAATCATTAATAGCAGGTGATTTTAATGGACACCACAGCAATTGGTCGTACAAAACCGATGCAAGAGGGGTGCAATTAGTAGACTCATCGATAGAATATGGTTATCTTTCTCTTAATAATGGAATGCCAACGAGAGTTAAACTTGTCAATGGGTTTTTACAAGAAACTTCCCCAGATATTTCTTTTGTATCAAATGATATTGCCATTAACTTCGTGTGGAAGGTTCTTAATGAAAATCTAGGGAGCGATCACCTTTTAATTAAATTAAGTACTAATATCCCAAAACAATATAATAGCATTAAGAAACGTAATTTTAAGAAAATTGATTGGATAGCCTATACTAACAAAATTAAAGAATCCTTTAGCGTTGATTTATTAGACATTGATACATATGATAAAACATGTATTCAAGAAATGTATAATTTTCTACTTGCTCAACTTGATAAAGCGGCCGATGCTAGTATACCTACTATAAAAGTACGCATTGATCCAGAAACAAAATTCAAACCCCGAAATTATTGGAACCCTGCCCTGTCTAGAGTAATTGCTCAAAGAAGATTAGCCCTTAGGAATTTTAGACGTAATCCGACTCCCAACAATCTAACTCACTTAGAAGCAAAAACTAAAGAAGCCAGTAAACTTATAGCAGAGGCAAAACGTACTCATTGGCAGAACTTTTGCGAGTCAATTGATGGAAAAATTTCAATATCAAACATGTGGCAGCGCATGCGATGGATAAAAGGTATTCGTAAACAAAAATCATTCATTCCGTTAGATAAGCAAGAAAAACTTCTACTTTCGCTCACACCAGATTCTGCAACCGACGTATGTCCAAAATTTATATCTAAAAATTCTTCATTAGAGACTGATTTTACAATGGAAGAATTGAAAAGTTGTCTTAAAAAAAAGATACTGCTCCTGGAGATGATAAAATCACATATAGTATGATCTATAATCTCCCCGATATCGCAAAAAGATTTCTTTTATTGCTTTATAACCTTGTGTTCAGGTCTGGAAATATACCAAGTCAATGGCGTAATGTGCTGGTTATACCTATACCAAAAAATAGTAGCCCATCTAATTCTGATGATAAACTGAGACCAATTTCCTTAATGTCATGTCTTTGTAAAACTTTCCACATTATGATGCTAAAGCGACTAGAATGGTTCATTGAAAAAAATTGCGTATTTTCGCCATCGACAGTTGGATTTAGGAAATCACAATCTTGCTTGGACTGTCAGTCTCGCTTGGTAACATATATACAAACTGGTTTTACACAAAATATACCCACGTTAGCTTGCTTTTTAGATATTGAAAACGCTTATAATAATGTTGATATAAATAGTGTCTTAAAAATATTAGATGAATTGCAAGTTGGTAGTAAGTTCTGTACATATTTATGGTTATTCCTAAGCGAAAGACATTTATGGGTAAAATCTCAAGTTGAAAATAAAGTATTTAAAACAAGCACAAATAAAGGATTAGCACAAGGAGACCCAATATCCCCTTTCCTATTCAATATAGCGACTTATAGAATTTGCCATTTACTATCACAACACAACGTAAACATTATTCAATATGCTGATGACTTTGTTATTTATATAAAAGACAAAGATATAAAAATTTGTGAGTCAAAGATCAATAATGCGTTATATTGTATAGTGGAAATGTTAAACGATCTAGGTTTACAGCTGTCAACTGACAAAACAAAGTTATGCCTGTTTAGTCGAGGACGTAGACGATTTCTGCCAAATGTAACAGTTAACGAACGCTCATTGACTTCCCTAAATTGCTTTAAATACTTGGGGTTGTGGCTAGATAGTAACCTACTCTGGAACAAACACATTAATGATATTACAGAAAAATGTAATAAGTTTTTAAATCTACTAATGGTATTGTCTGGGCCATCTTGGGGAGTTCATCCCAAACATATTCGTCAGTTGTATATTTCGTTAATAAGAAGTAGAATTGATTACGGTAGTTTTTTATTTGATAATTGCGCTAATGTCCATTTATCAAAATTAGATAAAATACAAAATAAAGCGTTAAGGGTTATTGGTGGTTTTATCAAAAGTTCTCCAATACATGTAATGGAAAGCGAACTAAGCGTACCTCCACTTCATATTAGAAGACTATATCTAGCTTATAAATATGTTTTAAAAGCCAGCTCTTTTTCCAATAATGTTACAATTAATTCTTTAAAGCAACTTAGCACTCTCTGTGAAACAAGATATTGGCAACGCAAGAAAATCCCACTATTAGTTAAATCTTATAATAAGACTAAAATTATGAATATACAATCATCCCCTTTTCTCGAATCATTTTCGCTTAGCACTTGGTTGTCCCGCATTGATATTGAAAATATATTATTAAGTAAATTAGAGTCTGTAAAACAATCCAAAAAATTATATGAAAAAAATTCTCTTAAACTAAATATTATTGAAGAACTTGAAAATAAATACCACGATTGGCATAAAATCTACACAGATGGATCAAAGAGTGCTAAGTTGCAAGGAGCAGCTTTTTTCGACTCATCTCGAGCAATTTCTAGATGTTATAAAGTTACTAATGACGTTTGTATTATGACCCTTGAACTCATTGCAATATCCGAAGCCCTAAGGTATGCCGCAAGCTATAACTGGGACAAAATTATTGTATACTCGGACAGCAAAACTGCTATCCAACACTTGGCTCGATCCGCCTCTGGAATCAGAGGTGTTTCGATAGCCTATACCATACTTTCCCAACTATATGAGTTCAGTCTACGCGATATCTGTGCAAAAGTGCAATGGATTCCATCACACATTGGTCTATTGGGTAATGAGGAGGCAGATAGATTAGCGAATTCTGCTTGTGTAAATGGTGTAGAGTATAATATTAACCCCTGTTACTCAGAAGTACTGCCAAAATTCAGAAATTTATGTCATACCGAATGGAAAGAGTTTTTCAATGAACGCTCCAAAACTAAAGGTATTTGGTACAAAACGATACAGAGTGAGCCACCCCGAATACCCTGGTTTATAGATACAAAAATAAATAGAAATATTATTAAAATAATGTTTAGAATAAGAACAGGTCACATCCCATCTAAAAAATTTTCTTATCTGATGAAAAAAACTGATTCACCTAATTGTGAAACGTGTGGAGTAATAGAAGACTTACATCATTTTTAATGGAATGTGAGCGGAACCGAGGGGCAAGGGAATTATTTATAAGGACCTATAAGATAAATATGTACAATATGGGTATTGCGCAAGGCATTCTACATGCCCCCACCTCGGATATTGCATTGAGTATGTGCAGATTAATAATAAATGTATAGATTTTAAATTAGTTATAATGGGATTGACATATTAACAAATAAAAATCCCTAAATAAATAAAGAGAAAAAAAAAATCTAGAAATAAATAAAATTTAAGTGTCTGTATGTAATGTCAAAATAACAGCTTTTTACTAAATGCATATAATACTCGTATGTTTGTCAGTTGGTATGTTTGTTCTGACTAATCTCCGAAATAGTTGGACCGATTTTGAGGGAACTTTCATTGAAAAATAGATGATGTTATAATGAGTAACTTAGGTTACTTTTATTTTAAAAAAAAGAATTAGGCTTCCGTGCAAAAACATTAAAACCCATGAAATCCAGTCGTAAAAGTTCCACGCGGACAAATTCGCGGGGAATAGCTAATATTATATAAATTTAATGTGACTAACACCGTCAATTGGATCATTAATTTGTAGGCCATAAAAATATTTGTACCGTGAGGGAATCGCTCTTAGTGTTCTTAGCTATCAATTTGTCCAAATTTATTGATGAAAATTTCGAGGATATGTGTAGTTTGCCAAAATACACTGAAACAGCGTGACAAACTAACACTGTTATATCCTTTCACAATGTAAATAAGACCCATTTTTTTATTTATTTTTGTAGATCCTTTTTTTTAACTGAAGACACCGCAATAAGTTGGGATGTGCAGAGGCATTAAGGCGCTGTACATAGTCAAACTAGGCTTTACAAAACAGTTTTTTAACAAAGTATATACCTTTAAGAGCTGCAAAAAAATATATGTTAATCTTGATCACATTTGTGCGTCGACCATTGTTTTCAAAACTCGTTTTCGGTAAATTTTCTCGATAGAAAAAAATCTTAAAATAGCCATTGGAATTGAATTTCTAGCAATTGTAACTATATTTTTTATAAGCAAATCATAATAAAATGAATAACAGTGATGTAATATATAATAATAAGGGGAACTGTTGTTTTTATTTATCGATTGAAATAAAATATTTGTAAGTATTAATATATTGGATGAAAAATAACTCGAACGAATCGATGTTTCGCATAGCGCCATCATGGCGTCTTTTCGCTTCTCTTTCATTTCTACGCAGAGTGACAGTGATCGTTGAGGCACGCTGCTAGACGGACCTGTACAAATTTGTTTCGCTCGCCGTTAAAAATCATTAACGTATTTGTTTGTTCTTAAGGCCGCGTTTGCAAAATTGATAGATATAGAATCGAATTCTTACATTGACACGGGTCATACACAGTGATGCAGCGATAGCTGAAGGAACATTGAGCAAAGATGGCATACCTCTAATGGACGTAAATGCCGATGATTGTTGTTCATAGCGATCCTATGGAAATAATTATATAAGGCATTGTCATTGAATCATACCGTTCAAAAAGTTGAATGCCAAAACCATGTGCTGCGCAATATGTGCAATAAATTGAGGGCTGCTGAGAATTGGTCATTTTATTTAAGAAATAATTTATTATTAATTTGATGAATCTGTTACAAAATTTCTCGATAACCTTTTCTAGAAAATAACAATTATTGATTATTTTAAAATTAAGGATATAGAATATGTACATATTTTAAAAATAATAACACGAAAATATGTAGGTACATAATATTGTTAGAATCAAAACAAAAATATGTACATATGTTAAATAAAATACATGTCTGGTGGGATTCGAACCACCAGTCATCGTGGAAACGCGGTGCGAAGGCGGACAGCCGCACGCTGGACCAATTGTACATTTCACGTCGAGCGTTGGCGAGATTCACGCGGTACACCCCGCAATAGGCGGGACTACTCGTCCCTTACTTCATCTGCTTTACCCACTCAAATACATAAAAGTCGTCTATACACCTCGCCTTAAGGGATTACATACATATGTCGTTTTTAGTTATGTTACGTATATCATGTGTGTACCTAGACACATGAGGAATATTCGATCAGCTTTCCCACACTCATCGTTTTACGTAGAAATGGCCAGGCACGTAACGCTGATGCAACGAAATGCATTTTGCCGGACACACAGCCATTCATCGTGGGGTACCGTTACTCGTGTCTCCAACATCGAGCAATTGTCACGTACATTTTTATATTTTACTATAACTTTCAACTTATAAATTATTATATTAAATATAGTTTTGCATTTTATTTTGCTTCCTCCGGCCACGCATGGTATTTGCAGATGTGAATGAAGCTTTGTACGATCATTATTCTTATACGTATACTAAGAATTTTACTAAAAATTGTGACTTGAGTGAGTCCATCTTAGTTCTCAGAGGTGACAACACATTTGTAGCTTTCTTTCTTTGAAGTTTGTTGCAGCTGTACTTGAGCTGCAATTGCCACTTAACCGTAACTGGATTGTTAGTTAGTTTTTCATATCACTTAAAAAATTAACAACTATTCATTACTGAATAAAAAGGTATTATTATTACCCCACTAGATGGAGTGACGACCTCATAAGACATGCAGGTGGCTCAGGACCGCGCTTTGTAGCCTTCCTTGGGGGAGGCCTATGTTAAGCAGTGGACTTGTGAAGAGCTGTTATAATAGCTGTATAAGGCTGGGGGTAGCTTAAGCTACTAATATAGGATAAGTACTTTTTTGACTAATATTTTAATATTAACTTCTATTTTATTTTATACTAACATTAGGCTAAGTAAGTTTTACTAACAATCTATGACTATTGTAGGTCGAAATAAAGGATTTATTATTATTATGTGGTATCTATAAAGTTTTCTCATCTGGTTGGTTAATATAAATATATAATTGTAAATAATCATGGTAAACGTACATAAATATCAATAAAATAAAATAAATACATAAAAACTACATAAATATATAAAAACTCAACCAGATGGAAGCCCTCGGCAGGGGAGACCAAACGGCCGAGGGTTAGGGGGAAAGTGAAAGAAACCGGCGGACGATACGGGCGGTATCGAGGAGCACCGCCTTCTGCATTTGAGCTTGGAGCGGTCCGTCACGAAGTCCCAGTCGCCTCAGATGACCCGAGAGGCTGATTGGAATTAGCCCATTCGCAGAGACGACTACAGGTATAATTTCGGCTGGCAGTCCACCCCACATGTCGGTCACCTCGTGAGCCAGGTCCAGATATTTAGTCAGCTTATCTGTTTCGGCTTTCACGAGGTTCTCGTCATAAGGAATGGTAATGTCGACCAAAAATATCCTTGACTGTGCCCGGTCCATCAGCACAATATCAGGCTTATTCGCAAGAATAGTCCTGTATGTGATGATGGCCCGGTCCCAGTAGAGCCTGGCGCGGTCATTTTCGAGTATGGCTTCCAGCAAGTACTTATAATACGGCAATTTCGAATCTTATTTTAATTTTAAATATTATTATTATAATGAAGATGATGATTACTGCAATAAAAAGCTTGACAGATGAATTTTGAATTAGTTGCATTTCTCTATGACTAACAAGTGAGATGAAAACAATATTATGAAGGCATAATAATGTCCTGTATTGTAAAGCGGTAGTCATAATGAGGCTATATAAGCATGACATATTTTTAATGCATTTGGAATAGATTTTTATTTGCGTAATATGCAAAATAATAATATCTTAATGATTTCTTATATTTACGCGAACACTACACATTGAATAAAACTATTTTTACGGATTTTATCGCGTTTAATTTACTTATTTTATATTCCCGACGTTTCGGTTGCTTTCCAGCAACCGTGGTCACGGGGGACTGAGGTGATTGACGTCCCGATGTCAAAGTTAACCCGGAGTACCTTCAGCTTTTTAATTATTAATTTTGGTCCGATCTACGCAGAATGAACTAACTGTGTCTTGAAGTCTTACAGTGGTATGCTTGGGTTTAGTTTTAATTTTATGAATTACAGGATCCCAAGCAGGTGGTAGTACCCAGCCTCCCTCTCTATTGAAATTAGGATGTTTTTTAATTTCAATAGCCTCACGTATCATCCTTGGCAGGAATCGATGTTCTTTCGCGAGGACTTGTGGTTTATCAAATCTAATGTAATGACGGGGGCCGTCTAGGATATGATCACAAACTGCAGACTTCCCCGAACGTTGGTGCTTCACGTCAGCTATGTGTTCTTTTAAGCGGGTTTTTATTGATCGTTTTGTTTGCCCTATATATGAGAGACCACACTCACAATCAAGCTTGTATACTCCTGCATCTTGTAGAGGAATATTGCACTTGACGGATGGTAAGAACTGACTAATCTTCTTCGGCGGCTTGAAGAATGTTCTAATAGAAGCTCGCTTCAAGATGTAGCCAATCTTGTCTGTGACACCTCTGACATATGGTAGTACAGCAGGCACACACTCGACTGTGGCCGGCTTCACTCGGTCACTGTGACGTAGGCGCGGAACCCGAAGCTTGTTGTCGTGCAGAACCTGCTTGACGTGCTGAAGCTCGGCGGCCAGGTGTTTGCTGTCACAGATCCCTCGTGCTCTCTGCAACAAAGATTTGCCCACGGTAGCTAACTGTGAAGGGTGATGGTGGGATTCACCGTTTAAGTATCGGTTTGTATGGGTCTTTTTTCTATACACAGTGTGACCTACGGTGTTATTAGGATTTCGAATGACTAACACATCTAGGAAAGCTAAAGAATTATTTGCCTCTAACTCCATAGTAAATTGAATTTTAGAGTTTATGGAATTAAGATGTTCTAAAATTCATACCATTTTGTCAGTGAGATAAAAGACCTATGTCTTACTGACAATGAAACTATGGTCAGTTTTGATGTTCAGTCTCTATTTACGTGCCTACCTGTTGAAGACTGCATCTCAATTATAACTAGGAAACTAGAGGAAAACAACATGCCAGCAGAATATGCAGTATTACTCAGACATTGCCTTACATCTGGCTACCTATTG